AGAGAGCGCCATCTTTTGCCTCAAGCAGACTGTACAGTACTATACAGCTAGAAAAACTCCTGTATATGCCTGTTTTTTGGATCTATCTAGGGCTTTTGATACTATAGACTATGATATACTATGGAATAAACTCAGAAAGGAGACAGATGTACCCTTCGAAGTTACCTCTGTTTTGCAATATTGGTACCATAACCAATGTAATGTCGTGAAATGGGCTGGCGAGCACTCGGATATGTATGGGTTGGAGTGCGGTGTGAGACAAGGCGGCCTTACCTCGCCTCGCCTCTTTAACCTGTACATTAATGGGCTGCTTGCAGAGCTGGGTAATAGCGGTATCGGTTGTCACGTGGGGGGCGTCTGCGTAAATAACATCAGTTACGCTGACGATATGGTATTGATGAGTCCCTCAATCGGTGCGTTACGAAAATTATTAAGCATATGTGAGAGGTATGCTGGAGCCCATGGACTGAGATACAACGCGAATAAAAGTGAACTCCTGGTGTTTAAAGCTGGTAAGAAAGTTTATGCTAATGTTCCACCTTTATATCTTGGTGGCATTGCTTTAAGACGAGTTGAACAGTTCAAGTATCTGGGTCACTGGGTTTCAGACAACCTCAGCGATGACCATGATTTGGAGCGAGAGCGCAGGGCGCTGGCCGTGCGCTGTAACATGCTGGCCCGAAGGTTTGCACGGTGTACTGAGAGTGTAAAATTAACTTTGTTCAAGGCATATTGCCAATCCTTTTACACCTGCAGCCTTTGGGTTAAGTATACGCAGCGCGCGTACAGCGCTCTGCGAGTTCAGTACAACAATGCATTCAGAGTGCTGTTCGGATTGCCGCGCTACTGTAGCGCCTCCGAAATGTTTGCTGAGAGGCGTGTTGATAGCTTTTATGCTATTGTTCGCAAGAGGAGTGCATCTGCGCTTCAGAGGTTGCGATCCAGTTCGAACAGCATTCTGTGTGCACTGGCTGGCCGCTGGGACTCTGAAATACTGCGCCACTGGGTACGGCTACACGCTGCCTAAAAATAGCGATTTTTGTCTTTTGTGTTTGTCTCTGTTTTGTTTTGTTTGTTTTTATTATTATTATTATTATTATCATTTGCTTTTACTAACATTAGTTATAAGGTTGACATGTATTACTAATATTTAAATATGGACTATGTCTGAGATAAAATAAATTATTATTATTATTATTATTATTATAACTTTTTCACAATAATTTAGAGGACAAAATTAAAATATATCCATAGTTTCTGTAGTGAAATTACCGAATATAAAATAGTAAAGCATGACATGTTTTTGCTTAGTATAAAAAAGTTATAATATTAATTATACACATTTTTCACTCGATGTGGCAACTCCTCATTCTCTTTGAAATTAGATTGGGTTTGTATTTGTAGATTATATTTCGTTATTTTGAATTAATTCGATATCAAAGTATGTTTAGAATAAATGAATAATCAAAGCAGTTAAAACAGTAATATTTAGAAGTTATTTACTTTTAGCTTATGTCTCAAGATATTACATCGGATTGTTAAATTAAATTCAACTTTGAGAGTAAATGTGATAAATTTAAACTATAACAAGATTAAAACTAATTATATTTTGATAACATTAACTTAACGTGGACACAAACATATTATTAAAACATACATAAGACACAATTAACAAACTTCATTGCCTACATAACTGAATGATAAGTAAAATTTGGCGTATGTTTGTTTAGTTATATTATATTTCACTAAAAACTATAAAATTTGACTAAATATTAAAAGAATTAAACAGTTATTTGTATATTATCATCTAATATGGAATAATTTACAAGCACGTATTATATGTAGTAACGTAATATTCCATCCACATTCACAAAACATACATGATATTAATTAGAAGACAAAACTCTCTTTATTAGATGCATACTGATTTTATTATGAAACGCCTCAATACTACCTTTATACTATATATCACCGGGTCGACTACAATTAATTAGATTCATATTTCAAGTTCAATATGGGAAAAGAAATGCCATGTTTGACATTTAGTGGTAAAAAGTAAGGAATTATTTTATAATTTCTAAGAACACGAACTGTTTTAAAATGTATAATAAATTTCTATATTTTTTTAATTCCTAGTATGCAAGGTCTATTTATTTAATTAAAATAAAAGTGTAAATTACTTTTTATTTTAAGAATCAAGTCACAGTTTTTCATTGCACATAAAATATGCTTAATCTTCGGCTATAATTTAAATCATTGACAGATTATCCTTTTCGAAAAACAAAAAATATAGTAATTTGAGTTCTACTCAAGACTTTCCAATTGGATTACTGCTGTACCCAATGTATTTTACATTAAATTGATTACTGAATCGGATCGTTTAAAAAAATAATGAATTCATCAAAATCTTGAATAAACTGCTGTGAAAAATATTATTTTTACACGTACATTTAGTATGTATAGGAGTCTTTAAAAACTTAATAACTTCGTAAACAGTCACTCATGTCAATTCAATTAGATATTTTTGACAAATTCTTTAAAACCTAGCAGGTCCTTAAATTGTACGAGACACGTGTATAAATCTAATAAGTTCAAAAAAGTTGTCAAATACTGAATTCATATAGCAAAAATATTTCTATTTATTTAATAAAATACGAGTATATCTACAACTAAAACTAAAGAGAGTAACGAATCTCATTTTATTTTTGAGGAAAATAAGAATTTCGGCAGAGTTATTCTATTAATAACTTTCGCAATATACTGTAATATATAAATATAATAAATGTCTGTTATTTACTTACGTTAGTTCACACCTATCTCTAGACTCCAGAATTTCAAGTTTTAAATAATACTTAGTTTAATATGTGCATAGTAATCCCCTTAATGTTAAAGAGACTCTTTAGTCTTTATAGTATAATTCTATATTATTTGATTACTTGAAAATTTATAATTAAATTCATTTATTCTTTTAACATAGAAAATGAAAAACAGTTTTGTATCTGTATGTACGTATGAAGGTATACGCACGATTGAGTGTGAACCATTGTATTCAAGGCTCGCAAAACGTTGTCAAAGAATCTACCATTGAACTAGATTGCATAAAAAATAAAAAATCAATACTTTATACGATTCGTCAGTGAATTGTGAAACGAAAATGAACTCAGAGCATGTAAGACAGCTCTTATTTTTAAAAACAATAGCTTAATCGAAAGTGAAAATAATTAGTTTTTTCGTACTAATTTCTGACATGGATTACAAAGTGCCAGCTACTAATTTTAAGTTATTACTTTAAATACCGAAAAAATATTATATTCTTTTCAAAAATTCTATTTGAAAAGAAAATAAATTTATCAAATCGAACCGCTTAAGAAGCTTCTTACTTTTACTTAAATTGGTAAAAAATATTAAATATTAATTAACGACTAAATATCAAATAGCTACTAATTACGTGATTGTAAATCATGTCTTCATATTGTAGCTTTTCAAAATAAAAAGATAACTGAGTACTTAAGTACGTATTTTATAAGAAATTAGTTGTGTCTCGGAAACCCAACATCCCCAAAGACCATGCCATCAAGGTCAATAAGTATTACGAGCTCACTAACGAACTAACTCGAAATAGGTTCGTCGTTGATTTGTACTCGGTAGAGGTGGGAGCGAGAGGTATAACAGCTAAAACCTATAACCCACTAAAAGACTTGGACCTGTCCATAACTAACATTAATTCATTCTTGGAACGTACGTCGAAGGCAGCCCTAGTAGGTTCTTTTCAAATTTGGTTAGGTAGAGAGAGGAGCTTGGACAGTGGAGGTGAGCGTATAACGCGCGTTTGATAAGGGGCTCTTAAACCTACACCTGCTCCTATCCCTGCAACGCGATGCAGGTGAATCCATTAAATACTAAGAGGTTTCGTCTCATACTTACTTCATACTAACATATGGATTATGCAAACATTTAATATATATGGTTGCTTTTTTCTCATCAGCGAGTAATCTTTGGAAATACTGAACGCTTTTTAGTGGGACTGTGAGAAATTTATTTTAAAAACTATATACATATATGTAGTTTTCGTAATTTGTTTTCATTTTTCATAAATAATATTCTTAAATAAATTTAATTAAAACTCAATAATATCTTTCTTACATATTCGGCAAAGGTACAGTATTTATCAGATGTAGAGTGCATTTCTCCATGTAGAATGTTTGTGGAAAAAAGCAGAATGTTAGTGTGTTTGCCTGGACGCAGAAGTGATACCTCATGAACCAAATTACTCCATTTGCAATCACTAGTTAACTAACGTTTAGCCAAGAACGTGCGTTACCTTTGAGGCACATTGATGCACGAAACAGATACTCTGAATCACCCCTGATTTTGTCTATTTTACCCTCACTCCATATCTACATCATGAATGTTTAGGTTAAATTTTAATATGAATTATTTTATATTCTACATGGGTTAACGGATCTAATAGAGGTGTTGATTCCGTTACTACTTAAACAGTCCGACAGGTAGTATTTCAGCTGGGTTCTTCGGTCTTGGAATCCAGTGAATGTAGATTTAACGCGGCCATAGAACTACGGATGTGGTGTTTGAAATAACGATTCCATTGCTTAAAGTTATTTTTAGATAAATTGTACTATAAATCATAAACAATTTAAAATAACATTACGCACGCTATAATCTCTAGTACATTTCATCACAATAAAACCACATTTTTCGTTGATGCTATACAGTTTGACTAGTTTAAATAGAAAAGAGGTACTTTTAAATATATATGTACTTCTGTTGAAGCAGCTGTTTGCTGCATGCACTTCTTGTCAAAGACAATTACTTCATTCTTTTATACTACGTTACACCACTTAAAGTAATTGCACTATTATCCCTATCTTACTACTAATGCAGATATAGATAGAATAATAGATAGAGATTTTTTTCAATACTAATATTAAATAAGGAATACCTAAATATGTAGTTTGAACCTGTAAAGACTATTTAAAATTTCACTCTTGTGCCTAAATAATCATATTTATAAGTCATAGCTATTGTAATCTGGTTTAAGCAAATTTAAAGATTCCTAAATATTTGTAATGGATTTTTATCTCATTTTATTAAGATATTTATCTTAGCAACCATGTTAAATTTCAGTCATATACAACTCAATGATACAAATAACAAGATCACTTAATAATCTTATACTTCTTTTAAATTAATCTGTTAAATGAACCTAAGCATCTCAAAGTATCTCATCTCTAGTACAAACTTTGAAGTTCTTTTTAAAATCCTCACAGTATTAAATTAATATAAAAAAAAATGCAATAAAACTCCTGGATTTACGTTGGATATATTCCACCAGAATTTGATATGGTTTATCTTTTACTTCGTATAAATTATTAAAATCTATTGCGCGGAGTAGGTCCACGAGTGAGCCTGAAATCTATAATATTTAATAATCCTAAACGTCAAAACTCCATGGATATGAATACGCCCGCTTTGTAGGGTTGTGTACCATATCCCCTTACTTTTTGATATATAATCAAAACATTTTGTAAAGTTTCATATCTGACTAAGGTTTGTAACTTTTAATACTTGCTTCTATCCAGCATAATTATTTAAAAAAAATGCATGTCACCTAATACCGATATTCCTATTTTACTTTCAACACAACCGATTAGATTAGAACTGCTACATCTCCCGTCAGAAAAGAAAACAAATTTTTAAGTATAAAGATCCACGCACACTAGTTATAAATCTGCCGTTTAAAAAAAATCTGTTAATATTACATTGAAGGAATAGTCACTATGATGATTATCTTTACAACCATCGGCATACAAATACAAACAATAAAACCTAAGATACCTATTAATATATTCTAGTAATATACTATTACATACAATGAATAATATACATATGTACATGTATTATTTTAAGCACGGCTTAGTTAAAGATTTCTGTCAGATAAAATAAATAAAATTATATTTAAAATTATTTAGATACGAAAACGATCGTTTTCCATGTCACCAACATCATTTAGCGCAGTAATAAATAGTTCTCAAAGTGAATTTATATTTCTTATTTCCGATATACGTCGTCTTGGAAAAATTGTAAATTATTGTACTTAAAAAGTTTTATATTTGAGAAAGTAGAACTATTATATTAATAATAATTATATTAATATATAACTACTTAGTAATAGAAACGTAGTAATAAGAGATTCAAACAATAAGTAATGTTGACATATACACTGGGCTATTGCATTTGATTGATGTCTTAACTAATTCTCAAAATTTGAAGATTAGAATTCACCAAGCTTATATGTTTGTTATAGGTAAAAATTTTCTTCAGTTTAACATTTTGTTACGTAAGTGCATATTAAGAAATAAATAGACATCGCCGGGCAACACCCTTGTATGGGTAAAATATAACATAACGAGTGACTATATAATTATTTCATACTTATTCAGTATAAAGTTTTGATGTCCATAGTCTAATGTTGAAGTTATTGACACAATTTATTAAAAGGTCTTTTATTCAGTGCTAGCAATTTACAAAAACAACTAATTCTCGAAATCCATAGTGATTTACTACGATACTTAGAATCTCAAGTCATTGAGTAGCAAATTTGTCATTGTAGACATTTCTCCCAGCACTTTCCTTCATCTATTTTCTGGGTATCCACAGCGACGTCGTTTAATTTCGAACACTTACAACTCTTAATTTCCACCGATAGTAAAAAGGTTTTTCTTGTACATTTGTACATATTTTGATATTATACACAAGGGATCTTAATAACATCGATATATATTACCTAATGAAATATCTGTTAGATTTTAAATAAATTAAAAAATATTAAATTTATTTAAAATTAAGGTTGGTTATAACATAAAATAGTCACCATGGATTCAACTACGAAACTAAACACTATCTATAAAACTAAGGAAATCTACTACTAACTAAATACCAATACTAACACACACTCATTATTGTCACAGGTCTTGCACAGTAGTCTATATAAGATTCCAAAGTGTATAAGATTGTATTTGTATTTTCTTCTAACTATATCTGTGTAAGATTATTTTTATTTTTTGTTTTGAACTTAAGTAATTTATCAAATATAATACAAATTTTAACATTCATGGGACTTCAGAATTGTAAACTTAAGGATAATTTAAAACGAGGTACGTAAGTTACCTAGCTTTAAAATGAAATGTAACTGGTTATTTTAAAAAACTACATGCTACCGACGTTTCTCTTACTTTGCAGCACCCGTGATTACGGGCAAACGAGGAATTTTGAATGAAAACTCTTGAAAATCTTAGATGTCATTATAAAATGTTACCGAGTTATTTTTTTTACAATGAAACATAAATAAAAATTACTAAACCTATTAAGAATATCGATCAACAATTGTGTATATATGTATATTTAACTGTTACCACAAATTAAGGAAAAATGAAAATATAATCTAAAAATATATTTTGGATAATAATATTTTATGTCGGAGTGGTGCTTATTCGTGTAATAATATATTAATCTAGTAATTGTTAATACAAAAGCTCTTCTTCTAAGGAGGTACATTAGCCGTGTGTTTAAACTAGGTATTTTTTTCTATAAACACAATAATAATTACGTTTGCTTCTGTAACTAATTACTACTTTCATACAAAATAAATATATAGTGAAGACTTTAATATCTACTAATTTATTTCGTATAACCAATAAACCTTGAGTTTAAAAGTTAGCCTGCCAAGTAAAGAATTAATATTAAAAACTATGAATATCCAGATGGAATTATTTCGTGATCGTAAAATTTTAATTTGAATGCTATGATTTTAAAATAAGAATAAGTCTCGTTTCTACATTTTTTAGGTAACTGGAATCTTATATTTAGAAAGATATTAAAATGTCTTTGAATATTGAGTGATTAAACATATAAAACTTAGGCATTGAAAAAATTTAAGATTTTAAAGGCTCGTGATAAATTTACTTTATATATAACCTGATTAGAATACCTATTACTTAAGAGAATTCACAGTGGATTAAACCTGTAAAGAAACCTATTGGGAATTTTCAACTGATACATAAAAATAGAAATAGTTGGTGAATTTAAAACAATAACTTAAGTTATACACAAATGAGATGAGAGGTGAATAGGAGGGAAAAAATTTGCATTTGAGTAATGTTCCTATGCAGTAGTAAGTTCCTCAACAAAGACAGCTGAAAATACTCCTTATGAAATGTAATAATGGAATATTGTGTTGATAATATATACGAAACTATTTTGTCAGGCATATATTGCGAAACATTCCTAGGCAGACTTTTTTAGTGATAAAAAAATAATAAATCATTGAAGTATGGACATTTTCATAATATACATATAAAAACATAGTGTCAGATAAATGGTGCAATGCGAAAATGATGCATTTAAGTTATGTAATTTATTCAAAAATTATTACATTGACTTCGTATAGATTTAGTTTTACAAATTGACGATTATTAGTATAATTCACTTAGATAAAATTATAAGACCATTACTGAAATCAGAGATCTTAACATACATACTAATAGTGAGTAATAAATCAATTCACTGACCTCTACGTACTGTCCGAAGATGGCCATCATTTTATCGTCGTAATGTGTTGCGAGGGCCCGCAGCAGGTCGCAGGCGGCGCGGCGTCTGGTCGCAACGTCTGAACCTTCGATATCACGCCACACATACTCCTCGGGATTATCTTCAAACAACTCGATATCTGATTCTGGAAAAAATACATATATACATACATTATCTTCAAAGGAAACGTATAGAAATCCGTCCGCTTTAAGTACTGGCAGCTCATTCCCTGTTGGACATTATATATTGTACATTATATATTCTGTTTAATAAGTATAATGAAATATCTGATTTGTGGCATATCGTAGGCAATAGTGCAAATCCGCAAATTAAACATTAAATTATAACTAAATGTCGAAAAATTACCTTAAAAGTCATTACTGTGGAAAATATTTCAAATTAAATTTTCTTGTGATAATCTGCTTCCAATGTACATAAGCGGAATTATCCAATGGTAAATACGCGGATATATCTGTATCAATGTATATAAATTTATCCTATCAAAGCTTGTTATTTAATGTAACAATGTGAATTTGCCATAAGTTACCAATCTCATTTCTTTACTATTTTATACCAACACAGAATATTTTATATAATTTAATAACTAAATTTCCCATATATATGTACAGCTGGGTTTACACATGAGTTTTCGCAAAATATTCCAATCTCTTACCATCGGGTCGTTAAGTTCCTAAGGTAGTTTTAACTTTACTAATTACGTTAATTACTAAGGAACTAATTTGAATTCATTTGGAGATTGGTGTTAAAAAAAATATCTTAATTTTACACACTGATAAAATATTATTCACGCCCAAACAAAACGGATGATTATGGATTGTTCTGATACATATTACATTTAAGAAATATACTTTAATTAAGCGTTGACAATTGTTATTAAATAATTAATCTTAAGTTATGTTTAAATACCACGTAATTTCATGAGGCGCTGAAAACTTTAAGGACTTTTTCGAGAAGTTTAATGCGAAAAAATCACAAGCGTTTTGTTTAATATTTTTTAATAGTTACATAAAAAAATACTCAGACTTACAATATTGCACTTGAGTATATAAAGGTATTATAAAATTTTTATTTTACAAAAAGTATATTATTTCCAAAGCTCTTATAATTTAAAAAAAAGTAGATATTCTTAGATACTTCGTAGAAGGCAAATGATTTTTAAACAGTGCTAGCAAAATGTCTCAAGCATTTCTTTCAAGTTAATTCTCATTATTTTTTTTATTTAATAATACAAATACTTTCACTTTAAAAAACTTGAAATATCATGACTGCATTGGTAATAAAAGCAGTAAAATGAAGTTGCAGTAGCACACTTTTATGTATATCACACAGTCTTGCAATGGGTTTTGCAATTGCACTCATACTCAAACGGACATATAGACGTGAAACCCTTCTTATAATTAATTAATTATTTTTTACTTCATACAGAGAATAGTTCTTTGGACAGAGACTAAGTATTTTTTCCCGCACGAGCGAAATCGTGTAATGTAAAAGGAGCGTTAATGTTATTAAAACCGAAACAATAAATAAAAACAAAGATTTCTCTTTATAGTATTTTAAATCACTCCAGATAGTACTTATTAATGATCAACGTGTTAATAGTTCCCGCCGTGTTTGATACCGAAAGATTAATGTAACGTTCCACATATTAAATTTAAAAATGATACCGTTCTTTTATTATAATTCATTATACTGTCATTACATAACAACATATTTTTGAAACTCAAAAAAAATTAAGTGATCTCTTATTAGGTTTGGACACATCATAATCGTGTTTTACATTCTGCACTGAATTAAACCAAGGTGACACGAATTGTGAATGAAATTTAAAAATGATGAAAAAGTAGCTTTCTGAAGCTTCACCTTCATTAGTTAGTTTGAGTCAGACAAATTTACGCTATTTAAAACAGATGTTTATAATTTCTTGATTTGAAATGGGTTTGTTAGCTATGAAGGGTATTATTATTTTTTTTCTTTTCATGAAAACATTTTGAACTAACATTAAAATTTCATAATTATCAACCAGCCGACTTCAGATGAGTAATAATTTTTTAAACCTATTTTTACAATGCATCATTAGGATAGTAACACCTCTAAATTGTTTTCTCTTATATCCTATTCGCATTAGAAAATATTGTTTCTCTAAATTATATCTTAGAACCGATGTAGGTAAAATCAAAACAAATAATTATAAAACGATAAAATTATATTATAATTTGTATTAAAATATATATAACAATTAGTTATTCTCATGACGCGATTAATTTTATGATGAAACACCCAATTTCGAAGAATATATTCATAATTAGCAACCTTAATATTTCAGGATCATTTTGAAAAGTTCGAGTCTCCATAAACAACTGTGTCGGTTAAATAAATTTTACAAAAGATAAGCATACACAATATTACACATGCATAACAATCAAACTATACAATTACAAGTGAGCAATCAAAAATTACATTCAAAATAATAAAATACAATCTTTCTACTAAGTAGTCTTTCCCACCGCAATTTCTACTTTAGTTTTGATGCGACCACTGAAATTAACTTTATCTTTAAGTCGTAATTTAGGTTTCCATGATTAAAATAAAAATAATTAGTATCTTTTTAATCGTTTGAAATTCCATCAAATGTATTAAACAACTGACTGGAACTTGCCAAAAAGACATTATGATATACATACAATACATATGTAATACAAAAAATAAAAGTAATTTCTGTCCATGCCTTTAAAAGACTTTCGTTTGCACAAAACAATCTTAAAGCGTTTAATAAAAGGCAAACAAGTTGGGTACATTTTTTATTCACGAACATATGATAAAAGTTTTAAAAATAATGTTAAGCACGTAGACGATGTGCTCATATTTCATCAAAGATTAAGTTTACTACAAAAATATATTCAAGAGGCGAATGCTTTTGAAAAAATTAAATTGATTACTGAAATTTTAAATATCGAATACACTTCCATTCTTTAAGTACTTAGTAATAACTAAAACTAGTGGTACGGAGTACAGATGTTAGGGACGATAATCTACTACATATTTACTTTGATGCATTTCATTGTGTGCCTTTTTAAATACATTCCATAATATTTTTAACCTAACGTTTCAATTCCTGAAATCTTTCTATCTATTTAGGATAACGTTACGTATTTTATAATTTATAAAGAAAATTAAACATATTTCATGTTTCCTCCGAATTGTATTCTTGTATGATTTTCTTCTGAAACCGTTTTCTTTAGATTTTATCAAAAGATGTTAATCTCTTTATTACTTAAATATATTTTTTTAATGCATATATCCAGTTGTTTTTAAGTCCCAAAAGTTAAATTATAAAATCACATTTCAATACTCTCATCCACTTACTGGCATGATAGTTTAATAAATATTTAAAATTGAATTCAACTCGTCTAACTGATATATACGAATATATTTTAGCCTTACATTACTATTATATTGATAATTGCTATGTATTGATTGCTCTGATACATTCTGACTGCAATAGCCGGGCTCTTCATTATACGCATTGAATCCCAATCATATATTAGTTAAAGTATTATAATAACCTTAAAGATGAAAAATAAATGATGATATATCTTTTTTAATTTTCAAAACATACATTTAATATATAATGCAAATTAAACTTATGAAATTTAACACGTTTATATTGAAATAATTAAAAATGTACTTAATATGCACAGTTTTTGTAAAATACCATAAATTTAAAACAATCAAACGTTTAATTGAATGGGAAGTGGTGCCATTTATTCTACAATAAATATCACGTCACTAACCTTGAGTGATTCTCTTTTACTCCAACAAATAAATGTATTAAATGAATCCAGTTCATTATAATTCATAGCCCTACTTAAATGGAAGACGAAATAGTCATTTCTTATCCCTAGAGTCATAGATACGTATATTCTTTAAAGAAGTATGTTTTAAAAGGAAGTGCATTATTTACCCTATAAATGTACTCTTTACAAGTTCTTCACGTACTAAGAGTGACTCGTATGAATCGCCCGAACGCACCTCATGCACTAAATATTTTTCAGTAAAGATGGATGACCCTTTTAATATCTACATATGCGTTCATGACAATTTTCTACAATGCTAGCTGGGTTCTATAGAAAAAGAAGTTTTTTGCTCTAGCATACAATTCAAAAACATCCTTTCCAAGGTTTTCTAGACAACTAAAAACTAGATATACCTAATTGATGATAGAGCTTAAGCAATACTTTGTGTATATTATAATTCAGTGGTGGCTCAGTGGTTAAAGGGCCCGCCTCTCGTCGCCGAGGGCGCGGGTTCGATCCTGGCCCGGGCAAGTACCAATGTGATTTTTCCGAATCATATGTACTTTCTAAGAGTATTTAGACATCACTGATTAATGTTGATTCCCAAAAGAGGGTTGATGTCAGGCAGGCGGCCGGTCGTAAAAACAAATAGCCAAAAACTATTCATAACATGCAAGGAAGACCCTGGCTATAGCTGGGAAATTGCCAGGTAGAAGAAGATACATATATGACTAATTTCCATGTACTTTGTATGAGGCATATTTGTTATAAACCATTTAAACACATTTATAGAAAATAATTTTTTCTACTTTAAAACTACTCTAAAATTATAAATGAAATTATGAAGTATTAGCTAAATTTATCCTTTTTATGTTTAAAGACTACTCCTGAATTATGAAACTGAATGAATTATTTACAATTTCACAAATTCATTTCAAATAAGTATGTCAATGGTATAAAATACAAACTAACACAAGTAATTAATAATAAAAAACAGTCACTTACAAGTATGTCAGTTGATAATTGATTCTCATGCTTACAATAGTATGGCGATACCACTTATATGAAGCACTCACTTTCACTCAAAGGAAACAGACCCAAAACCTGTTTGCAAATACTTATATACACTTTTCATACTCAATCCACTACAGAAAAATACGTCTATCGTCAAAATATTTTCTTATAAAAATAATATCTTTCCATTTTTATTGTTTATTAAAAAAAAGTTACCAAATAAAATTTATATTTCATTAAATATTTAACATACAAATTACAAATAAATTAATTTGGGTTATTTATTATATTCGGTATATAATAATAACTTAATGGTTTCACTTAATAAAACAAGTGTAAAATCAAATGTTAAAAGATATTGAAACCAAAAAAAAACATTGATTTAATAGATAGATTTTATGTTTTTGAATCAACCTGAAACTAAATAAGGTTACACGTAAGGTAATCTCGATTACAATTTCTTTAAACAAAAAAAAAACCATTCTGTTTCATCTTCAAAATGTAAGCAACGTTGACTGTAGACTCCTCTTCTATTCAGAGTGTTGTTAGATGATACATGCAAAGACTTCGAAGAATGGCTACTGCTCACCATGGTCTCTTGAAATGTAATATAACTGTATCTTAAAGGCTAATGATAATTTATAATATATCTTACTTAAAAGGGCCCTGACTCATTCTTACTTGAACAATATTTCTTCTCGTATTGCTTGTGACAATTTCTCTTGAAATTCATTTTCTCTAAATCATGACTTCATTGGTAGTAAAAGCAGTTAAATGAAGTTTCAGTACCACAATAACATATCGCACAGTCTTGCAATGGGTTCGCAATCGCACTCATACTCAAACAGACATATAGATGTGAAAGACTTCTTAGAATTAATTAATATTTTCTTTACTTCATACGGAGAATAATTCTTTGGACAGAGACTAAGTAATTATTTCTATTAATTTTACATACTAGTCTTTATACTACAATTTCTTCCACTTTGATAATCAATCCATAAAATACTTAGAAAATGTATCAAAATAGAAAATTACTGTAATTTTAAAACTGTGAAAATTCAAAGAATTAATTTGACTTCATAAAAATGACAAAGGCTTTTAAATACAAATGAGTTGTAACTAAACTAAAATCGAGCAAGTACAATAATTACAAAATAAGATTTCCCAGAAATTTTATCATTTGAATTGTTTTAGTACATTCTTTATTACTCTTCAGGCTTAGCCACTCTAAATCTGGATAGTAAAAAGATTCCAATATATTACTGGAAATGTAGTAAAGAAAGGTATAAGTAAAGAATATGCGATCGTTTTAACTCATGGATTTTATAAATTTATGATGCTGACAAAACCTCATTTTCTTCACTTCTTTGAGATTTCACTTATTTATAAGAAATTTTATATGTATATTTAAAAAAAATATTACTTTTCAATGACAATATCTTATTAAGTCAGTTTTATTAAGTGGTGGTACGAATAATTGCAAATAATAACAAATTAAAATAAGTACATATATTGACCTATTTTACAATAAAACAAGTGGCACTAAATGTATCTGAGGTATGTATTTTGTTCCACAACTCAATTTTAGAAGTTTTTAAAATATTAAACAAATATTGAAATTTTTATACTTTAATCCGAATATATAATGTAATGAAAGCCGGAGTTATGCTACATCGAAACGCCTATGTATATAAAGTATTAAAAGGACTGGTTCTATATTATTTCTCGTCGAAGCCGAGTAACCTCTTCATGTCCACTAACAGCTGACGAAAGACACCTTGGTAATTGAAGTGGATTTGAAATATACTAGTTCACTTAAGTAAAATGAGTTACCAATTCCTTCGCCTCGTCACATGGAGGTTTTCCGTAAGAAGGTTATTATGAAAAGCTCCTTGTTTTACCACTGTGGTTGTTTCTAATATTACAAATTTTACTTTTTATTGAGATGGATTAGAAAATTGTTGAATAATGAAAGTTACGGTCGTGGGCCTATATGATTTCAAACAGTTTTGTGAATTTTTGATCTCTTTACTCTGGGACTAACTGGCTAACTAACTGGCCTTAGCATGAACTGTAATTTTGATGAAAACCGAACCAACATTTTCTTAATAATTATATTTTTATGGCTTTTTATTATTTCAGAGATGAAAAAGACAAAAGAAATCAATAAATCTATCTATTAGTTAATATCGAATCTCATTTTCTCTGTTATACATACGTCCGGACAAAGGAAACACGTGCTTGAAGTACTAGTCGGTCACTGTGAAACAAGAACTTTCATTGTTGTGCTCGTAAAGTATATAAAATTTTCATCGTCTTCTGAAATGACGTGGAATTTAAACATAACTTAAAATTAATTATTTAATAACAATTGTCAACGGTGAATTAAAGTATATTTCTTACATTTAATATGTATCAGAACAATCCATAACCATCCGCATACAGTTTTGTTTGGGCGTGAATAGTATTGTATCAGTGTGTAAAATGAAGATATTTTTTACACCAATCTTCAAATGAATTCTAATTATTCAAAAGTATTAAGATCGTTTTTATTCATTCCAATCATAAATCTTATGTATTGTTATTTTCATTATTTTACTTGTACGAGTATTATATCTAGGGTTATTTTTTTTGAACATTGAATTAAGCAATGATAAAAAAACTAAATGCACACCAATTGAATAAATTTGTTTGGCAATAATACAAACTGTTAAAGTTTATTTTAATTAAAGTTTTATTTCGCAAATTACATACATTTTTATACCACATTTTATTATTACTTTTTCTTCTCAAAAAATATTTATTTAAAATACACAGTTATTATTCAACCATCAAATATGTATATTATTTCCACAGTTGGACATAATTCTTGCCTTTTTTGAACAAGACAAAGAAATTTCTTTTTGACATAATACAAGATTGTATCCTTGGAACGGTTAATAGAGTATGTTTTTATAAATATTACAGAGAAATTTACTTAAATTATAGAAAACAATAGGATATAACTTGTTAAAATATAATATTTCAATATGACATAAAAAATAAAGGAGAAAAATTATAAAACATGCTCAATTGTTGAACATATTTGTTAGCGAAATTAATACTCGCAAAGTCTTAGATCTCATTTTTGTAAAAGTATAACTGTTAATGTAGTAAAATATCTTGTTTATTAATAAACAACTAGTATCTACTTACACGTACATTGAAATTTTTTATAGATCCGACAGTATAAAACACACATACATATACTACGGGACAATATTAAATATATAAATATATATGAAGTACATAAGCATTAATGTTTATTTAAAAAGATGTCCTTCTATATAGTATAAATGAACCTCAAAGACGTTCTGTAGTGCTAGTATTGAAATATGTAGAACTTTAACAATGGACAGTCTATTTTATTTTATTTGTATTGATCAAAGGATACATTATTGACACGAATAGCAATGATCATGTAACTTTATTTAATACAATAATCATAATATGTATTGTTTAAACCGTCAGTTGATTTTTATTGGATACAAAGTCATAGATCAACGTTCTTCCACTTTACCAGTTCTTAAACATTATTAATGCACTTTTTTAAACAAACATTTTTTCCTTTTAACTGTTGAAGGTTATAAAGTGAATATAGTATGTAAAACTTTTTTTTGTATGGAATCAATAAGTCAAACATTATTTTGATTAGCGGTTTAAATCGCCACAATCTATTATAACTCTTCTCCTAGCTTAAGCCAACATATCTTGAGACTGTATTTAACGCAGTATAAGCAACGGCCACAGATGTTTTTAATGTGAAATACAACACAGTTCATTTTAAATAAAACTTTTTATATCCTCGGACAATTTTTAAAATATTTGAAACCTAATATAAGAACTGGTAAATGTTCGTAGTTTCGGGACATTACACAGCTCATTGAGCAACTCAGCTGACACTGGTTTGCTTTTTAAATAACTTCACGTGTCGTACAAGCATAGGATCTCTCAGTAATTTAATTTAATAAAGCTATAATACCTCACAGACACACTGAACCCTTAGCTTTGGTTTAGTCGAGCGATGGTTATAAGTTGTCAAGAGATATTAATACTAAGCTTTATCTAAGTTATATTTATATGTTGATCAAATGAATAACATAAATTTCATATATGGTTAAACTATTTTATAAAATTAATGTTACATATATTATTTACAATAAAATTTCCTTACTACAGAAGGTCTTTGAGGTTTATTCATAGAAGGATATCATTTTAAACAAACAATTATGCTTACTTACAGTATATTATGTATGTGTGTTTAATACTGTCGGATCTATAAAAAAAAATAATTACGTATAGTTGTTTATTAATAAACAAGGTGTTTTACTACATTAACAGTTAAACTTTTACTAATAATAATGAGATATAAGAATTTGCGAGAATTCATTTCAGTAACAATGGTGTTCGTCAATTATTATATTTTGGCTGTTGGCATATTGAACGAATCACATAGTCTCGTTATGAAACTTTAACTAAAGTATTGCAACGATTTCTAAATATAATTATTTACAGCGATTAACTTCAGTGTGTATATACTGCCGCTGCATAATTTTTAAATATCATTCGTTACCTAGGATCTGGAAGGATTTTAAATTAAATGAATCTGACAGCGGCATGCTTATCAAAGAGATGAGTGAGCAATTTGTAAAAAATTATAATTTTTCGGGTCATTGTTGGATACATCTGACAAGTCTACATTTAACCCGCGTCCCTACAAAACGAGTTTAAATTCATTCCATCAAAATTATTTTGATGAAAAATGTTAGATTTAGAAGGTTGAAAATTGTTTACAGGAGAAGTGACCATGTTTCAATTCATATTCTGGAGAACAAGTTTCAGGAAATATACTTTAAGTATACACAAAGTATAAGGAAAGTGAGAGCAATGGTAAATCGCTACACTTCAGCCACCTTTTCCGACACCATGATTTTGTATTCAATGAATGCAAATATATCAGGAAAATAATTCAAGTCATTCTGTACGTTAATGTGAAATGAAAAACATTAAACTTTAGTATTTATTAATGACAACTTATCAGGTCACTAAATGCATAATTAATAGTTTTTTTTCGTTTTCAGAAACAGCCTGCCGAATTGTAAATAAAATCAGATTTTTTTCTGTGCCTTCAGTATTGAGCCTAAAAATTTAAAGGCTATTAAATACTCTGTTAGATATACTACTAGCACTATTATTAATAATACTACTTTTATATTTAGAACAGTTTATTATATAAAACATAATTATAATATACCAACTAATTAACTAGTGACTGAAGTTTTCCAAGAATTTGGTAAACGGGTGTTGTTAACTATTGTATTTAGAATTAATAACGTATATGTGTATTATGTGTATGTATAACAACTTCAGCTAACGCAGTTACAGGATAGGAATGTTGTTTAAAATTTTAATTAAAAAAAATGAAATCATAGTATTGCAAGTTCGAATTTTAGATGTGACGATTTTATTTCCTATAATATAGCAAATATTATGATATAATAATATTTGCTATATTATAGGAAATAATAATAATAACATACAAAATATTATTACTTATATCTATCTTTTACAATTTTTTTATACATTTAATGTTACAGCAATTCACTTCTTCTGATAACATATACTTTTTATAGATGTATTAAATTACAAATAGCGAAACTATTTCTATACACAGAGATTAAATGAAAAAAT